CCATGCCCTGACTTAGATCAGCCCAGAGGTTGTTTCAGTGAATTAAAAAACTCCGGTATCATCCTTGTTCAGTTATTTTCGGCCTTCTAAATAATAGTTTCTGTCCACCACCACTATCAAACTAATGGCCTACTCGGTATTTGAATTGAATTTAGTTTTTTTCCAGTTGCTATAGGAACACTGCTGTGGGGTCTTGACGTATATATTTCTTTAATTTTTATGTATGAGGAAGTTATCTTTTTTTTGTTTTAGTTCTTTCTACTACTTAAATTACTTAACGATTTAGAATGTTCTGGGAGTAGATATCATCTTCCTTTTGTTTGTATTTGATGTCAAAAAAAAAAAACAACAAAAAACAAAAAACAAAAAATAAGAAACCAATTGTTACATATCGCATTTTTTTAAATGTTGCTTTATCTGTCGAGCGATATAAAGACATTACGCTTCTTCCAACAGTTGCCATGCCTCGAATGATGTGATAATTTTCCTCCCTTTTGTTTTTCGTTTCTTTTTTTTTTTTCTTCTTATTGATAAGATTAATTTCTCTTCTTAATCAGTTATTGAATCTTCTTCAGGGCCGTAACTAGGGGGGAGCACAGTGTGCACGTGCAACCCCCCCACCCCCATAAAAGCTTAAGGTCCGCTCATTCATCTCCTTTTTGGGGGGTTCTACTCTCTTTTGGTTACCTTTATTTATTTATTTTTATTTTGTTTTTGTTTCTTCTTTCATTTGGTTACCTTTTTTTTGGTTCTGCTTTCTTTCGGTTACCAATTTTTTTTCTCTTTTTTTATTTTTGGTTCTGCTTTCTTAAAAGAAACGACCAATGGTCCGATTTTATTCCATGTTCACCCTCCCTGTAAAAGTTCTGGTTACAGCCCTGTTCTTTCCTTCTTTATTCTCTATCATTCGTACCCTCATTTTCTTTCTTCCATTAAAGTTTTTATTTATTTTCGATGACTCTTTCCTTTTAATTCCTCAATTTACATTTGTTGTCTCGTTTTCGAAGCCCTTTCTTTGGCTTTCTTTTTCTTTTTTTCCTTTATATTTTCCTTTTTCCACTTCTTTTTTCCCTTTCATTTGTCCCTATATTTTCTTTCCATATTTTTTACTAAATGGACGCCATCTTGGAAATATTTCCCCTAAAATAGCTCTCCAAATGGACTGCAATGCCAACTAGACTCAGTTTTCTCCTCCGCGGCAATATGATATTGGTTGTCATGAAGGATGCTATGCAGGTAATTCAGCATATATAATTATAAGTTAACAGCTAGATTACTATAAAATACGTTTGTTTCTGATTGAAATTGGCCTCGGAGAAATAGCTTATCATAATCTTAGGCTGCTCAAGTATCGACAATATGACGTCATCAGGAAAAATGGCCGCCATTTTCAAAACTCAAAAATCTTTTGAAAGAAGAAGACATTTGAAAAAGGAAAGTGAAATCTCACTTATCAAAACTCTTTCAATCCAGGCAAGTATTGCCTCAGGCCTTAGGTGCACTGTTATCAATTATTATAACTATTCGCCATTTTCCATACATTAGTTCACGGGTCAAACACAAAGCATTCAGTCAAGGTCGCCGCCAAGGTTCAAATTTGAATAATCCTTTGGAAGTACCTTGGCGCCTCGCTTGAGCGCTTTGTGTTTGACCAGTGAACCAGTATGGAAAATAATGATAGATACCTTGGCTGTCTTTCTTTTTCTCAGAGCTCGATCAGTGTTGGTTTTCCTTGGATAATAGATATCACAGAGTTGTAGGTTGGCACTCAACAGCACTGTCCTTAATAGATAATTATTGTTCTTATCAAAATCTAATTGTTATCTTTCTAGCTTGTTTATCATAGAAACAAAGTCAATAATGAATGAACTAAATATGTCTGATTTTCCTCTATGCATTCGTTGGGATAATGTAGACTGAAAACAATGGATTTTGATATAAGATCAGTAATTATTTTATACCTAAAACTCCCTGTAAAACTCCGCCTAGACGTATAATATGCTTATACAGAGAGCCGCTATGATAATCGAGCATGCTGCAAGATGAATATCGAGGTTTTATTTGGTTTTTTTAAAGTCTCAAGTCAGCACTTCAAGCTTTGATTTTTTCCCCAGGTTTTGTTCATCCTCAAAAACAAAAGAATATTCCCCTTCACGGTTCCCTGCGCCATCTTGAAAGGCAGCCGTGCCTTTGCATTGCAGCGAGACGAAAAAGCATGTTACCCCCCTCCCCCCCCCCTATTTATTGGTTGGTGTACATATCAAATAAAAACATATTTTATCTTATCTGACGTAGTGACAGTAACTAGGGAGGTAGAACAATGAATGCTGGATCGATGAATTGATATTGTACGTCTTACTAGTATTGAGCTTTCGGTAATTTCAACGAGCCTATATTGCTTAGAGAGCATTAGCGTTTTTTTTCCTTTTGGGATCTATGGACCTAACTCTAGAGGACCTAACTCTAAAGGACCTACCTCTAAAGGACCTAACTCTAAAGGACCTAACTATAAAGGACCTAACTATATAGGACCTAACTAATATAAAGGACCTAACTATGTAGCTTCAAAAATAGCTTTATGAATAAGTTACATCCTATACAGTCAATTCAAAAAAATTTGTCGTCGACCAACTCAAGTCTACGCGACTGGACTGAAAGGAACTCTGGGTAGCAATCATTGAAGCCGAGTTGACTCCATAATTTTATCTGACTAGTTATGCCTGGTTTACAGCACGAACCTTCGTAGGCGAGCGGGAAGTGTTGAAGGGAACGTTTTTAAAATGCCTTCATACTTTCGGAATTGTGAACTGAATCATAACTACTTTGTTTTTCTTTCCTTAAACCCGAAGACATGCGTTTGATGGATTGTTTCTCGCCATTATTATCTTATTTCTAGCGGGAACAATTAATTCAGAACGAATATTTAACCGCTTCAGTGATTTTACACATATTCCTTTCGGTCCAGTCGCGTATAGGCTTGAGCCGGTCGACGACAACGTTTTTTGAATTGACTGTATATAATAGGCCCTTTGCATCCAGCAAAAGTTACAGTTTAAATAAGGAAAGTCCATATCTTTTGCCAGTTAGTATCAACCACTTGCTGGCAAAAGGCCTATTGGTAGATAGGCGGCTTTCCTATACAACACAGCCATTCATATTGTATACACCTATTTGTTGCACTGACTGCAAATTGTAGTATATTCACAACCGGACGACGTAGTTTCCTTTTAGATTGGAATATGAAGCATGGCTTTTGAGATAAAAATGCGATAATTTCTATTTTAGCCAGACAACATGAAAGCAAAAAAATTCTGTACCCTTTTCGAGTTCCAAATTACCGCTGTGTTTCTTGATTACATTTACTCAGGCTAAGCCTCGAATCAGTGTCTAATTACTCGAAAATACCAACGGTAAAGTAAAGAATGCACAACTTCAACAACACAAACACTTTGAAACTTGACCGATCTTGACTGGAACACGTGAATATTCTATACAAAATCGAGGCTAAGCCTAAGTAAATGAGTCTGTAATCAAGAAACACAGCGGTAATTTGGAACCCGAAAAGGGTCTATTCTTGTCTCAGATTACCCATTTCAGATATCCGATCGAAAAAGAGCATCCCTTCATTTAAGATGGCTGCCGTATCAGTGAAAATGTCTATTATATTAACATTAAAGGGCATTGTAGTTCATTTTGCAGGCTAAAATGAAACAAAAAATAAACAAACAAACAAACAAAAAACAAGCAAACAAAACAAAACAAAAACAAAAACAAAACAAAACAAAAACAAACAAACAAAAAATATATATACATTAGCCTGCTGCCATCAGTCAATCAGAAACGAGAAAAACTGAATCGATCCAGGTCAATGAAACCACTCAAATGCTAGTTATAGCTTGGCGTTGTTTTTTTTTTTTTTTTTGCTATTCGCTCGCTGAAGTCTTTGCATCTCGAACGCTGCCCACAAAATCATGAAAGTAAAAATGACAGAAAAATCAATAGAAATAAGAGCGTCTTATTAGTTTACTTTTTACTATTTTACCTTGCCGAGTACAGTTATATTAGATTGATTTGACGTTTGAATAAACACCGACGTAAAGCCGTTTTAAAAAAAAGATATTGTCTTTTATTTCCTTTTATAAATGCCCAATAGAGTTGATTTTCATGAGCGTATATAATGTGTTTTGGGCCCTTGCAGCGGCTTGTTTTAGCCCTCACAGAGCCTCGGGCTAAAATGAGCCTTGCTCTGGCCCAAAACACATTTATGCCCTCGAACTTCAACTCTATTGTTATCTTCTACAAGTTTGTACACGTTTCTTCACGCAATATAACCTTCACACTAAACTCGCATTTCTACACGTTTGTACTCGCTCGTTTTTCACCCGCATTTCACCTTGATAATCTACTCACTTCATACAAACTTTTACACGTTTCTACGAGTTTTTCTCGCGCATTATACAGCGAATCGAAATACGGCGACCAATTTGAAAAAATTGGAAACTGATTCATGATTCTTAGTTGAAGTAATATARCGATGAATATAGATGACTTTCAAGAACTGATCTACCAAAAATTATGCATTGTAATCGCTGTTTCCCCCCGCAAACTTATCACCAAAACACAAGTGTTATTTCATTTTTGTACAAACATGAAATAGCCCTTGTGTTTGGAATGCAGGAAAACTGTGAAAACGTGGTAAAGTTTGCCGTTTGCGGGGGAACAAAACAGTGACGCTTAAAGGCTTACTCAATCTCTCTTTTAACTATTATCCTGGATCAAGCACGACAGAAGCCAGCTTAGGAACCGGAGGCGTAGCTTTTTAGTTCTCTAACAGCTCCCCAGAGTGAGTGTTTAAGTATACACTTATTTCAATAAAGTTAGTCACCAAAAACCTAGAAAGCTGAGATCACTGAACATCATGGGAAACTTTTCATATCAAGGAAGCATATATATATACAAAGCTTTTTTAATACAAACTGCAGCTCGATGATGCTCAGAAGAGGTGAGACTGTAACCGGTAAAAGATTCACAAGTCCATGAACAGTTAGTAAGCGGTTGAACGTGTAAAATGAATCTACCCATAATCCTTGTCGGCCTCAGCTCTATAGCTTTTCAGGTGACTAACTTTATTGAAATAAGTGTATCACAATACAGAGACATAAGCAGCCGTTTTATATTGCTTGTATAAAATATTTTTGGACAACTTTGCGCGAGTGTGTCTCTATCCTCTGATGAAAAACACGGCAGCCAGAAAAATAGAGAGCGCGTTATATTTCAGATATTTTATAATTTTCTTGATAAAACGACTTTTTCAAAACAGCAGCAGCAGCAACAACAAACTAACAAACTCGTATTATCACGTTCTTTAACGATTTGTTTCAGAGTTTCAAACTTTACAACAATACTACCATCTTTACCGTTTTTTTAATTATTAATAATTACTGTTCTTATCAAAATGTATTGTTTTCAGTCTGCATTATCCCAACGAATGCATAGAGGAAAATCAGACATATTTAGTTCATTCATTATTGGCTTTGTTTCTATGATAAACAAGCTAGAAAGAAAACAATTGGATTTTGATAAGAACAATAATTATACTAGATAATCACTTCGGCACGCAGCATTCGTAGGTGTAATGTATAATTCGGGCTACGCCCTCAGCTGCCTGCATTATACCTACGAATGCTGCGTGCCTCAGTAATTATCTATTAATTATTTACTGAAGAAGATACTCCTGCTCAAAAAGAACTTTCTGTGTCTTAATATCAACCAGTTCTATTCTGATATCCAAAGAACGAGTGTCTTTCAGGTTTTTGTAGCAAGAAAGGTGGCCTGAAAGACTTTGGCCTATAGAAAGATATGAAAAAGAAAATTAGAAGCAATAGCCAACGTGATATATACATAGTAATATCATCTAAGTGCCGTGACAATACTGAAGAAATAGAAAACGCGCGCGCGTGCTGTGTGCAGTCATGAAGAACGCGGAGATTGGCAGAACACGAGAGAAGTGTTAGGAGAAACACGACGCGAAGCTGACATACTAAATATTAATTTCTGAAACCAACCTCATCAACAACAGCAGAAGCAATATCATCAGCAGCAATGATTAATGGTAGTACTTGAAAAAAGAGGCTGTAGCAACGACAGCAGCAACAACAGCAGCAACAACAGCAACAACAACAGCAGCAGCAGCAACAGCAGCAACAGCAACAACAACAGCAGCAACAACAACA